ATTTGATGGCTTATACGATTACTACATTTATGAAGTCCAATTCAATAATGTAGCTCGTAACAATGGTTGGACTCCAGAGCGTAAGAGAGACGAGTTGCTCAATGCACTCACTGGAAAGGCTGTGCAGATTCTTCAGTGCATGCCTTACTTGCGAGGAGATGCTCCATCCCATGTTCTTAACGAAGCCCTGCAGCGTACTTATGGCCATACCGTCACCATTTGGGGGCGTCTTAACCAATTCCAAACCCTGAAACAAGACGATGAAGAGTCTCTCCAAGACTTCTCTAGACCAGTTGAGACAAGAGCAACTCTGGCCTACCCAACGATGCCGACGAATGACCTTACCCAGCTTAAAGTACAAGCTTTTGTGAAAGGTCTTAAGTCCAAATCTACGAGGAGCTCCATAGCTTTCCAGACTTTTCCCAGTCTTACGGCGGCTACAAATGCCGCCATTCAGGGCAACAATACTCTGCCACCTACTGGAAAAACTGCCAACAAGCGTGCTCACCAAGCTACAGTCGAAGAGAGGGAGGAAAAGGAAGAATCATCGGCTAAAGTTCAGATGGTTTTCCCGACCAACTCCAACAACCCTAATGGCAGTAGCTCCAGCTCCAACCCGTCAAATCCGTCTACTTCCACTCAACAGCCGTCTGGAAGCGACAACCGTGGACGTGGCCGAGGGCGCGGCCGTGTTTCCCGTGGTGGTCGTGGAAATCCTGGCGGTAGAGGTGGCTGGAACAACAACCACAACTGGAATAACAACAATAGCCAACCTTGTACTTGTGGCCGACGTGGTCACTCACCTCAGAACTGTTGGTTCAACCCGCAAAACCAGCGAAACCAGCAACAAGGAATGGGCTTTCCACGGTATCCGCCCCAGTTTTACCACGCTAGTCTCCCGTGGCAAAATCAGCGTATGAGGCCACCAGCTGCACCCACTGGAAATGGCAATGGCAACTGTAACAGCAATGGCAATGGTAACGGCAATGGAAATTGAAATTCCACAGAGGGAAACTAGGAGTAGCTGCATCTAGTGTGGTCAAGACCGCAGCAAACGTTTCCCTTGGACCACAAGATTTCCTAACACCTGGAAGTCGCATGGTGAACTATCAATAGTGTCAATTGTGATTCAGTAGTTGATTCTGGCGCTGTGATTACTATTGTTAAAAGAGGTCGTCTTGAAACATCTTTGCCTATTTCAAAATTACGAGTGAAAGGGGTAACACCTGGAACAGGAGAATTATATGGACCTAAATTAATGGATTTCAACTTTGGTGGACTAAAATTACAATTCCCTACATATGAAGCAGATATTGAAGATGATTGTCTTCTTGGCAATCACTTTTTGGATTATTTTGACGTAGCAGTGGAAAGTGCAAGACGCAAACTCACCGTTAGAAGGTTGTCTCCACAAGAACTATTAGACGAGCCACATGAAGTTCTTTGCACCATGGTTCACTCACCTAGCATTGGTGAATTCGAAGCTGGTCTTGTGCACTATGTGGCACGGGCTCATAGAAATCTGACTCTGGCACCAATAGCTGATACCAGAATTCAAACTCTTTTACAAACAGATGTAGCACCTAAACAAAAAGGTAAATTGGAATCGAGTGAGCACACTAACAAAAATAATAAAATAAAGATTCCACAAATAATGCTACAAATCATTGCTTACAGTTACTGCCGCCAGACGATGAGAAAGCTCTTAAACTTGGACTGGTGTCCCGTCCAATGACAGCCCACAAAGCGTCACTGGATCCTGATGTGCTGGTGATGTCTGGAGTCGTTCCCTGCATCTCTGCTCCCCTGGAACTAATAATTTTCAACGCAAGTGATCATCATGTCAAAATATCACTAGCTATATGTACGCCAGACCACGTCTCGCGTATCAGGCTTCGCGATATCTCACGAAACACTGTTACGCTGCGACGCGCCTGGCGCACATATAGCTAGGCCTGCGGCGCTGACACCCAAGACGGGGTAATAGGAGTGTATATACAATTTTTCGAAATGAAGTCTTTTTAACGATTTAATCGACCATTTAATCATTTTCACCTTATTTTTGCCAAGAAATGCCCCCTAGCACCTAAACAGTACAAGATAGAGGCAGACGGACGAAATTTTCGCCCGTAGGGCTCTACTTTGACGAGTTACCCCTTAGGAACCCATAAAAAAAAATATTTGATAAAAATACATTTTGCGACCTGTAGTTTTTGATTTTTTTAAAAGCCAATTTTTGAGCTAGAATGCTCATCTTCGAACTCGATTTGTCCTTTTATGATACAAAACGACCCTGAAAATCCCAGGTCGATATCTCAATTCTTTCTCGAGTTATCGTGCGGACAGACAGACAAACAAACAGACAGACAAACAGACAAACAAACAGAATGAAACTTTTCCGGTCAGTGAAGTTATGGGCTTCGCTAATCGCTCAGCCAAAAATCCACAGTTATTGCAGAAATCTATCTCCTCGATCCAACTGATTACAATCAGCCAATCAATGAAATTAAAGAGTATGAATTACCTCTAGAAGGCCCAGCAAAAGTCCACAGATGAACCGTTTAAAATTCTACAGAAAATCCTGGCCTCAACAGATGTGTTTTCAACATTGAAGTTAAGTATAAAACTCCTGATTCGTCTCCACTCCCTTCGGACAATCCATTGCCAGAAGATCTTCAGGACCTTGTCAAAAGGTGTAAAAATCTAAATTCGGAAGAGTGCTATTCAAACCAAAACCACAGTTCTTAAGAATAAATGTCTGACGCACCCGGGTGCCCCTCTCTGCCGGGACAGTAATTCAAATCACCTTTTTAAGTAATATCTTTATGTTTCATCACTGTTGTGATCGGTAGTTGATTCTTTAGACCTTATAGAAGATATTCCAATTACTTACAAACCCAAGATCGTGTTTTCGTAAAATTAATTTTTGCCAACTTTTCGGTGCTTTGGACCAGTGTGCGTAGGAGTGAGGCCAAGCCGGCAACAATACCGCGTCCGTTCTGGTGCCGTATCGTGAGTGAGTGGCGTCGTGTCCGTGTGTTTTCTCGTCGTCTCGTAGTGTTCTTTTCCCTGCAATCCCTTCGCGAGAGAAGTCGCACTTAAAGAAAGTGAAGGGAAGGGGCCCGCCATCTCATCGTCTCCGTGCCATCTGAAATGCGGACAGGCGCATCTCTCCAGGAGAGCAAATAATGTGGGCAACACCGTTTGGCTGGGATAGAACCTTTTCTAATCTTTCGAGACACGGTGTTGAAAGTTGATTAAGGCGAAAATATAATTTCACTAGCCGAAGTTCAAGCACTTAGGAGGCTGTAGTGCGTCACCTCAATGTTAATGTTAATGTGAATGTGTCAACTCTGTTCTTTTCCAAGTTGCCCACCGCGCGGCAAGAACAGAAGCGGTATGGTATTCTTGCCGCGCGGTGCTTGTTAAAAATTAAAGTGTGTGTGCAAAGGTAGCTTTGATGAAAAAAATGAAATGTTTTTTTTAATTCAATGATAATGGACGTGAAATTATTGCCTTCAAAAATTTAGAGTAGTTGTATGCCATGGCAAAACGCAAACCTCTTACCCGAATAAAAAATAATGTAGGTAAGAATATTATGAAGTGAAATGGTTGTGTGGGTATCTTTGGGTCTACTTTTTCGTATAGTAATGCGTAAGAAGAGGTAAGAAAGGGTCGTCTTTCCGGTTAAGTGTGATATCTGAACATTCTCAGAGCTTCTCAAGGCTCTCATACTGATAATTGGGAGGATGGTGTCAACTTCCTGTAAATTATGAACTAGCTATATGTACGCCAGACCACGTCTCGCGTAACAGGCTTCGCGATATCTCACGAAACACAGTTACGGTGCGACGCACCTGGCGCGCATATAGCTAGGCCTGCGGTGCTGACACCCGACGCGAGTTAATGAAAGGGTAAAGGGGAACAGAGCCTCCAGGCACCAAATTTGACATAGTAACAGCATTTGTCGGGGACTTATCACTCTAAATTTAGGGACAGGAAACTACTTCTGTTCGATGAAGGTTTTCACTAAAAGATCGAATTTTGACAGATTGTAAGGTAAAAATAAACGTTTTAGTGACACCAGATAATCTAGGGTCCCTGAAGCCCAAAAGAGGATGTAGTACGACCCCTAATGTGTGGTTTAAGTATTACTCTCTTCACAATCCTGTGACATGATGCCTTTTTTACGATTTAATAGCCCATTTTGTCTTTTTCCACGTTCTTTCCGACAATAAATGCCCCATAGCACCTAAACGGTACAAGATATAGCAAAACGGACGAAATTTTCGGCCGTTGGGGTCTACTTTCACAAGTTACCCCATACAATACTTTTATTGCCAACATGATGGCCCACTCATCATTCAGAAAGGAAAACAGGGCGTGTTAAGTTAACGGGCAAAGTGAAAGTGGGACATTATTGTATTGCTAAAATGCATGTCTGGAAAGACGCAGAAATTACCCAACAGTTATCAATGTTCACCCTCTCCATCACCCTCTAAAGATGACATGTACATAAATGAAAAAAATAGCATGAGGAGTATCACTAACTAAGGTTGTGAGGGACATTCAAAAGAACTGCATTCCAACAACATCCAGTCTTGACCAAGTTCAAAATTTAAAAGCTGCTCGAAAGAACCAGCTACAAAGAAGAAAAGGGTTGTTCAGAAAGTTGTTTCTTTTGATGTACCAAAAGAAGTTACCGAAATAAGGAAACTTGTCCATGATCATTGTGTGAAGAAGGCATTCCCCAAAGAGGTCATTGCAGCTCTTCCTCGCATCCAAGTTGAAGTAAAAACACTTGAGCTGCAGTCAGATCATGTAGATGGTGACTTCGATAACCAGCAGTCTGCAACTTCTGCAAAAAATATCTGTCTTGTTCATACCGTCGAGGATATTGGATCACTTCAAATATGCACCGGCATTTGAGCCAGCATGTGACCAATGGTGTTATTAAAACACAAGGCTCTCTTACCTGGCCACGTAGCACCAAAACTTCAATGGCAGGATATGATTCTGTAAACAGCCATCAAAATAAGCAAGACAAAGCTGGAGGTAAGAATATTTTAATTAGGGGAGAGTGGGGCAGTTTGAGGAACGTTTCGTTTTTTGGCTCTAAAAACTGAACTATTTGTCGCACAGACCTGACGTTTTGACACAAAGAAGGTGGCATTGGCATGTATCAACCCTTTAAAGCGCGTTGCAATGCGGTGTCTTTGTAAGGAGATATAGCCAGTTCCTCATACTACCCCGCATTCCTCAAGCTTCCCCATATGCGGGGCAGTATGAGGAACGCCGTGGGGTAGTTTGAGGAATGGCCTTTTGTTCTTGTCAATGAATCGCATGGTATCGTGCTTTACAGCGTCAATGCATTGCCTCCTTCCCTTCACTGAGTCAAAATTGCACATCTGTACCTCAAATAGTTTCGTTTTTAGAGCCAAAAAACTACACGTTCCTCAATGCTACTAAAATATGGCCTTCCAGCGGGGCAATCCTATCGGCCACATGCTATGGCATGGGCTGGCCTATCCTCAATTTACCCCGTGCAGGTCTTCCTCAAACTATCCCGTTTTGCAATGATTCATTCAAAAAATTCCTAAAAAATTACGGGGCGTTGTATCATACCGTCCGGCACGGCGAAATAGGCAGGAAGCATGTCTTCTCTTACACAAAAGGCCACATCGCATCAGGGGCGCTCCGTAATATCGAAATTACATAATATATAAGGTGAAAAAACTCCCGTTTTGGCTGCCAACTTGTCTATTTTGACATTCGTAGTTTAAAAAACGCACTAGTTTACTCGCAGCTTTTACGTATGAACGTTTTTGAATGAAAGTACATTAGGACAATTTAGTACTCAACCTACGGCGGTGTCAGTGCCCGCAATCAAAATTTGTAGGCGGTTCCTCAAACTGCCCCGTTCCTCAATCTGCCCCACTCTCCCCTACTTTGGACGTACCCTACATTTTAAAATGATAATGTTTGTATGCAAATGTTGTAACAGACATAATATTCTTAAAATGTCTGCTTTTTCTACAGAAAACACCCAAGAAGATCAACCGAATGATGGTAATCAACCGCAAGAGATAGATAATCCTGGAACTGTGCCTACTGAGACAACTACACTATCAAGTGATGACAACGATTATGAAAGTAAGAATATATCCATGCAAATTAAAGTGCTTGCCAAGCGTTCTCAAAAACTATAAAAGATACCTGGTATTTGCTTTGTATTGTTTATAAACAAAGCAGTACAGCAAACATCAGACAAAGTCATACTATTATCTACAATTATTGTGGATTTAAAGCTTAATTATTTTTACTTTATCATAATTTAGAATATGAATTCTTTAATTCTGTATTCGTGTATTGAACACAGGATTATAAGTCATATATAATCCAATCTTCAATTACTGCTACTCACCATGAAGGACAGTCTAATGAAAGTACTTTTATTATAAGATAATCATTTTAGTGTATTTTTATAGGTGTTAGTGAAAACAGTTTGGGGGATGGATTGGTTTCTACTTCAATGGAACCGAAGGAACCCCCATCATTATCATCACCAACTACCGCTTTGGAATCCCAGAAAGACTCGGGTAAAAAATTCGTCACTATTAAAATTGTTGAGGAAGGGTGAAAATTAAACTCAAATCATGTCAACATGCGCACTTTTGTTGTAGGCATTGATAGTGAAAAACCAAAGCAGGCACTTAAACAAGTTGGTAAGAGCTTGGAATAGGTACAGTAATTAGGCAAAATGATAAAAAATTTGTAAATCGTGTTTACATTTTTTTAAATTTACATTAAAGAATTTTTAGAATGGGGGCATGGTCCAGATGATAACCAGTTAAACAACGCCCCAATTTTTGTTGAAATTGATGATTGTCCTGACAAGGAGAGAAATAGTAGGGACCAAAGGAGGAAAAGAGCACTGGGGAAACATGTAGAAGGACAATCACGCATTACAAGTTATTTCCCTGTGCTAAACCAAATTGAAGTCACTCTCAAATGTAACAAAGACATGATTGATGCACTCAGTGCTCGTCGCGAAGAGTTGGCATTAAGCAAACCTGCAGGTGGAAAATTTAGTTTGTCGTCTTTGCTAAGGAACTTAATGGAAACAGCCTTAAAAAATTCAGAAAAGAGAAACCATGGCCAACGATATGACGATGACATCAAGCTGTATTCGGTGTACTTATGCATTGTTGGAGGTGGAGGCCTTTATGAGTTCCTATGGGCAAACCTACCAAACTCTATGCCATCTCTGAGCACTGTGGAACGGGAACTAAAAACTTCTGCAAGACCTGTCATGGAAGGTGTATTCAGATTCGAAGAGCTCAAAAATTTCCTTGAAGCTAATGACCTTCCTTTAAAAGTTTCTATTTCTGAAGTTGGTACTAGAATTCAAGAGAGATTTAGTTTTGATCCATTTACCAACAGTATTGTGGGACCAGTTCTTCCTTTGGCTGACAATAGAGTTCCCGTGACACAAAGTTTTCCAGCTACATCTGCTGCTATGATAGCGAACCACTTCAACAAGCTGGGCCCGCTCTTCCGCCAAACCAAGTTGCCAGCTCCGCTTCGCTCCACCGGCAACTCGGTTCGGCAGGGAGCGGGC